AAAAAAACACATTTAAATCCTGGCATCAGATGATAGTTTATTTCATCTGAATTCTTTGCATGTGTGATTCCAGCAAATTCATTACATTATGTAAACCCAAATGGGTTTTAGTTTATTTATTTCATGACACACAAAGGGAGAAAGATGCTGAAGTTAACACAACAGACAATTAGATGAGGCATGATACACTGCTGAAAAGATCAAACTTTGTTCAGAAATACAATACCCAGAGTACTTCCAGCTGAAATGAGTGGGAATATAGTTGCTGATGTCCCTTAGGCTAAAATTTAATTGTAGAAAAGGAATAGTTCTCATTACGAGGTTTTCAGTGATCATTCTCTCTTCTAAATCCAATCTGAAAGTGATCAGCAGTGCTACAAGATTGATTAGGTTGAGTAGTAATATCATGCTGCTGGGTTAATTTTTCCTGCACAAAGTACATAAAAAAATTATATCTGATACTTTTTAAATAATACATCTTGATGACTTGCTTTTAATCTTTTAAGTATGTGTGTGTATATATGTATGCATACATATATACATATAAGTTCCATAGCAAGAATTTATAAAGATTTTCGGTTTTGTTCATGAGGGAGGAATTATCTTATTTGTTATAATGAAAACCCGCTTATATTAGTATTTTTATTGTCAAAAATAATAGAAAGTGGTAAAATAATAGAAATAGTAAAAGTACTTTTTTACTGCAAGACATAACAACCGGGACCTTGTCCTGCAAATCATTGTGCAATGATTTTTAATACATGCCATTTTAATGGTGGGTAGCTGGTTTGTACATTAATTTTGGTCCAGCCACATATAACATAAACTGCACATTTAATTGCCACATCAGAATTGAGTTAAGACTAACATTTCCATGCTGCTTTGTGAGAAAGGAGGATGGGACAAGATGGGAAGGTGAGAAAATGACCTTAGGACAAATTACCGTCTAGGTTCTCGCAAAAATCTGGGTGAGATTCTGCTTTCAGGTTGGCTCCTGCAGCTTCATGATCAGCAGCAGTGAAACAGGCTTGGGTGGTCTGCAACCAGTGGACGTATTTGGGTCACTTGTGCCCAGGAGAATGACCTGCCAGGTCTATGGTTTAACACTGCCAGGGGCGAGTAATTAATTCCCTGTTGCTTTATGAGAGTCCAGCAGTGCCCTGGATGTTTCTGCAGCCTTTTGGAAGAGCATCCTGCTCGTGTACTTAATTTAGCAGAATAGCACATTCATTTTTCTCAATAACAGTAATGTCAGCAAAAGAGAGAAGGCAGAAACTCAGTCTGTGCTTGCCTGCTGCTACTATAAAAAAAGCAGACTTAATTAGGAAAATTGACTGTATTTCAAGGAAATTGAATGTATTTCAAGGAAATATTGCCCACAATCACTTGATGGGGCTGCAGGGGGAATGTGAGCATAAGAAGGGTAAATCTTGTTGAGGAGTTGTAAGTTTTAAGACGAAAAGTGATTCCACTGCTTTTAAAATTTGCAGATCAGAGCTGTCCCACCTGTTTGTGACCTCCTGAGTGTCCTGAAAAAGGAGGAAGAAAAGTGTGCTGAGACTCTCTCCCTGGAGGCACAGAACAGAACGCCTGAAAACGATCTACTGATCTCAGGTAAAGGCTGAATGAATGTACACAATAAAAACTGCTCTCAAGTGAGCTGAGTGGCCTCAAAATCAGATACCCCACTTTCTGCCCCATTGGAGGCATGCACCTTGTATGCATCTCTCCTTCAGGAGCAGAAAACCAGGTAAGATCTGTTAAAAGGCTCCAAGAGTGCGATTTTGACCTTACTGTGACAGCAAGGGTCATAGGAGACTTCTAACTCAGCTGCTCAACTGCAGTCCTCACAACTAGGGAGCACATCAGCAACAAAATCCTGCAAATTGCAGATAATTTAGAGTTCTTCTCATCTTGGACAAGGATTTTTTTATAAAGTCAGCCCATTAAGTGCAAATTTACTTAACTATGTTTGCCTTCAAAATCAATGAATACCAGCAGCCAACATTTAAATCATGTGGCCTGACGGTCTTTGTTACTTCCTCCTTGTTCTAACTTACTGTCACATAACAGAGCTCTTGCATTTCAGAGAGGGTTTATCATCATATAAAGGAGTTTTTTGGCCTGGGAAGGTCTTGTGTTACTGAGTCCTCATCATGTAGACAGCTTTCCTTTCACTGCTCAGCAAGCACGTTCATGTGCAAGGGTTCTCAGAGAGATAACTGCAGGCAATTAGTGAAGCTTGCCTATGAACTGAGTGTTAGCTCCCCCAGGCAGCAGCTGGGTCAACATCTCACAGGGTACGTTGGATGGAGGCAACAGATGTGACTATTTTTTGTGTGTGACCAGCCATTGCCACCAAGGATGAGTTTGCGTCATTCACAGCATCTCACAGACTGAACTGTTTCTGGGTGACTTTTGTGGACCATGACATGGCAAGGTCCTCACCAGTGTGGAAAGTGAAGGAACTCCTGTGAGATGTGCTGTGTTTAGGTGTCCCGGGTGACAAACTCCTGTGACATGGCTCTAATGGTGAGCTCTGCATTTCCTCTGCACCAGAGCTCCGAAGATGCAAGCAAGTTAAACTTCACAGGGCCATGCAGGTGTGGACCAGCACTAGCATTAGCAGGCAGTGCCATTTTACAGATGGTCTCATTTTGTCTCAGTAAAATACTAGTTCCTCAGGAGAGACTTAATCCAGTTTTAAGTTGGATCCAAATTCAAAAATTCCCCTGAAGCCTTTTGTTACTGGAAATTTTTAAACAGGATAATTCTACCCTCTGTGCCCCTCTCCCCAAATCTACAGAGATAGAAGTTAAAAGTATAGGATCATGTTAAATCTTTGAGAAAGCATTTCCAATGGCTGTCAAAATTGCTCTTCTAACAGCACAAGTCAGATCAAACAAGGTGCAGTGCTGTGGGCTCAGGGCAGAAAGCTTTAAGCTGGAAGTGACCCAAGTGACCAAGCCTGTCTCTGTAACGCTGCAAACACACCTCCTGGCAGTGAAACCCAAGAAGAATAAACAGAAGCAAGATGCACATCTTTCCCCAAGTAATGGTTCCTGAAGACAGAGACCAGGAACTTCCTTCTGCTGGTCCTTACACAAGGAAGGTTTGTTACCTTGGTAAATTATGGAATAATGCTTTTATTCTGGGAAATAAATAATCTGAAAATACCTCCAGCCTTCAATTATCTGCATGTCTGAGGTCTGTGCAGAGAAAATCCCATACGGAGACTTCCGTTTCAAGAAGAGAGAAACAAAGCTCTGGGGACTCAGTGCATGTCCTTGGTGGTTCATGCAGGGAGAGACAAAGGCAGCTTTGCAGGGTGTAGGTTGCCTTCCATACCCCGTCCTTCCTGCACCTACCCCAGAAGCTTTGACTGGTGCAAGCAGGAAGAAGGGCAAAGCAGGGCACAAGCTTCCACTGCGCCATCTCTGCTGCGGTGCTCACGTCTCTGTGGAAAATGGCACAAACACCCAGATTAGTTGTGGGTGAATCAAGCACAAAGTACCTGAGCAGTAAGTGGTTTTATCCTCCTGCAGCACAAGGAAGAAGGGACTCTGCCCTTCTGATGCCCTTAGATTGCAGAAGGAATAAATGCTACATTAACGTAATCCAAGTTGTGGAGATGCTCCTTTTTTCTCATGAGCAAAGATGGAATAATTCTCTCAGGTGCAGGGAGCAGGGAAGGGAAGCTGCTGGAGGTCTGGGACCTCTGGTTGTGGTGACACCATGTATTGCTGCTGGAGGAATGCTCTGTTTGCCATTTGAGGGAGGTCCCAAAGAGCAGAGGGATGTCAGGGAGATGCCGCTGTGCTCTGCCTCCACCCAGGAGGCTCTTTAGCTAGGTAGGGGTGGGTGCCACTGGCTTTGCTCCTGAGGAATGGCAAGAAGCCCACCTGCAGTAGGAATGGCTCAGCTGGTTTTTGTTTTCTCCTCCCAGGCAGAGACCATCCCAACATCATAATTTTGCCAGATTTTGCTGTGCACTGAGTCTGATTTGGGGGCTTTATGCCAGTGGTGTTGGCATGAAGGTTCCATAATCCAAACAATGCAGCATGGCTAGGCATAAATATCACCCAAGGTGACATTCCATTTGTCATTAAACTATTGCTTTGAAGTGAAAGGTTACCAAGTCCTATAAACATTGTCACAGGGAGGACACCAGAGCTGAGGTGCCCTGTGAAAAGCTCTGTAGTTCCAGGCACTAGGACCGTTGGGCAGGAGGAAACCATTACATTTCTAGAAATGTAAATATTTTTGTCAGGCTAATGGAGGCTGGCCTTATAAAGCATGAAGCGTTTGAGGAGAGCACTCAGCACTTCTTCCGCTCCACTTTCAGTGAGTGTGCAGGGCGTTTGGCACATGCTGAGACCTGCCAGGTGTAGGGTGGTCCTGGCATGCTCCAGTGGCCTCTTTTTTCCCTGTCACATTACAAAACCCACAGACAAGGCTTTGCAAAAACCAATGATGGTGAATGGAGGCAAAAGGGAACCAGCCTGAATGCTTGCAGGAGAAGAGCAAAATAAGAAAGACCAGGATTGCAGTTTCTCTGTGCCACAAGGTCCTTATCTATTAACACTCTGCATTGCGGATCAAAATTCATGCATGCCAGCTTCAAGCACCTAAGCAAGACTGAGATCACCGTCACGCTGTGCTCCATTGACCATCAGCTCCCTGCTGCCTCTCTACCACTCCTACCAGAAGGCAACACGGCCAAGCCAAGGGCGCAGCTGAGAAACCCCTCACACCCTGACTGTAGGAGGGGACCACAACAAGCCTGTCCTTAACATAAGCAGCTCCTGCACCTGAGGGAAATGGGGTGGGTTTGGGCAGTGTGGGTCAGTCCCTTCAGCTGATGGAGGCCTCAGGTGGCAGAAGGTGCAGGGAGGGCAACTGAGCCACAGGCTTGTGCCTGCAGACAGCCCGGTGGGACTCCAGGTTCGATGGTTGCTCTGAGATGGGTCCTCCAACAGGCAGGTCACTCTGTTAGAGGCTTGGCCTTAGAAAGAACAACAGTACAGGCAGATTTACCAGCATATTTGGTATGAACCCATATTTTGCCCTGGTCTGTAAATGTGATGATCTTTGCTTTACAGTCCCAGAGACTGACAGAGCTTGGCAGAGTTTTGCTCTCCTGCAGCAGAAAAGCCACTGAGACCCCCAGCCAAGCCCAGCGAGCGGTCTGTTGGCGTTACTACAGCACGGTCTTGGCATAATGAAAGGGACGAAAAGCAGAGGGGTGTTTATGGTGGTACAAGGATGACATGGATACTGTTCCTCTCTGCCCTTTCCCTAGTATCATTCCGAAACTGTTTAAACTCCTCGTCATGTTGTATCTTTTTCTGTTTACAAAAGGATAATGTAAGGAAAACATCAGGGTCACTCAAAGTGGAAGCTTTATAAAGACTGAAAAGTGAGCTAAAAAATTCACAGCTGGTTTCCTTCATCTTTCCAGGGCCATACAATAGTTACCAGAAGGCAGACGCGTAGGTAAGGGTCTGATACAAAGTTCACAATGGCCCAGGTTGCTCTTTGTCTGGCTAGTAGAGACTAGTGGAGTCAAGGACCAGAATGGGATGGGCCTGGAGCTTGCTGGGGCTGGTTTGAAGCAAGCAAGACCTGTTCTGTCCTATCGAGGACTTGACAGGTCTCAGCAGGACTTGTTCTGTCTCATCCAGCTTGCTCTTCAGAGTACTGAGCATCTTTGCTCCCATAGCTGCCTTGGTCCTTGGGAGACATTGCATGGTGTTTCATTGCTTGGAGATGTTTAATAGTGTTTCATTGTTGGGAGAAGTTTCATGGTGTTTTGTCACTGGGAGATGCTGCATGGTGTTCTGTTGTTGCCCTCCCCCCCAGGCAGATGTGCTGGAATGTGGGATAACATGAGCTGCTGGCCTTCATCTGCCGTGGGACAGACTGTCAACGCTCACTGCCCCGAATTCTTCCAGATGCTGACTGGGAAAAAAGGTAACAATAAAAAGATGCTTTTCTTGCCCAGGTGGTTTTTATTATTTTTTTTTTTATTATTATTATTTTTTAAAAACAAAATCTGTTACAAAGATGCCACTGTCAGGTATGAACTTGAAGTGAAATTGTGTCTCTGCTTCTTTTAAAGACCGATGGTCACTTAGCAGCTACATTTCCAACACTAAGTTAAATGTGGGAAAGCCTGGAATTAAAGCAGCAAGATGTTTTAAGTGTTTATTTTTCTTAGCCAGGTGGAGAAAAGTGCAGGAAGTATATGCTATCCCGAAAAGCAGTTTTTTAGCATGGTTCCTTAAAGAAAAATGTTTTCTCCACTCAGGCTTTGTGTTTATGTATTTCTGCCCATCCTTCCCCTTCTAACAACTCTCAGAGACTCTGGCTGATCTCAGCTGAGCTTGACGGGGACAAAATTTCACCTAGCATTATGTTCATACAAGTTTTGGCAAAACAGCCAGCCAGGTAGGGGGAAAAGTGGGTGGTTTTTTTGTTTGTGTGGGGGTTTTTTTAATTTTTTTTTTTTATTTTGCCTCCATCAAGAGGAAATCTGCACTGGGGGTTCATCCTTTGGCTGTGACAGGCTCCACACAAGTGGCACAAATTCATGGCAAGTCAGGTTTCATGGCTCACAAAAACTTACTTAAAAAGAGATGAGCTCAAGCAATGTTTGTTGTCCTTTCTCTGGGATTTCTAGGCTAGAAATGAAGTGAAAGTTATTCCTAGTATACTACAGTAATCATGAGCCATTAAGTAGGAGTTTCTGCCTGCTTTCTCTTCCGTTCTACTTTTCAGCAATGCCCAAGAAATGTGCTTACATTTCTCTTTAGTGAGTTAATGATTCAAATTGGAAGAAGGTTTTGCATTCTTTGGTTATAGGACACAAATTAGTGAGGTCCAGTACTTACAGAAAAGCAGACAGATCCATTTTATGGAGGGAGGAAAGGGAGACAAAAGTATTAGGCTGTCTAATAAAGATTAGATAAGTCAGAGGAGAAGCACTTAGTGGTCTTTAAATAAAATCAGAAATGAGCCCTTCAGATTAAAATAAATACCGTGGTACTTTCTGTACGCACAAACAGTAGCTGCCCATTGAATCCTATAATCTGGTTTAAAGACAGGGGATAAACTACACAAAGACACAGATCGCTGAAGAAATCATCCATCTGGCATGCGCTCACAAATCTTTAGCATAGTGATACCGGCCCTTAAATGCATTAAATGAAATCCTTGCTGGTACAGCCACTAGAGGGAACTGCTCCCTGCCTCTGGCCTTCGCACCCGGGAGGAAAACAGGAATTTGTACATCCAAAGGTCATAATTACATCTCAAATGTGCATTGCGTTATCTTGCACATAGTCTAACAGCTTTAAACTTTAGTTGCCCTCCTTATCGAGAAGCTGAGAGCTGTGCTGCTTCTGATAAGCAATAACCAGAGTGACAGTGTTCCAAACAGAAAGCCAAGACACGGTCCATTGGCATTTGCATCTTATTTTGGCCTCTGCCTCTGACATCTTGGGTAACAAAGTCAGCAATAGTTTATTCTCATTCTCATAGCCACATTCTTCTCTGATTTTATACTGCGGTTGGCTTGTGACTCATGCATTTAATTACTGCTACAGTCGTCGTCCTGTTTGAAGCAATTTTGCAAAAGAAAAACAAAAATCTGTTTGCTTGGGGGAAAAAAAAAAGCAAAAGTTTTCTCTCTTCACAACTTACAAAGCAGATGGGGAGCCACAAATGCCAAAGACCCATACGTTAAGGGATGCAGATAACTCTGAGCTCTGACCAAACCCTGGTCTCCATGCTGTTGAGCTTTGTGCTGACATCTAGACTTGCATTTGTAGCCCAGACTGTCTGGCCCCTTCCCGCATAGCAGACCAAAGAAACAAAATACTCTGGAATCAGGTAGCATAACTGAAGTTCACATCCAGACCTGCACATTGTGTCTCAGGCAAGAAATGAGGAAAGGTGTGACGACTGTGAGGATTCAGAGGCAGAGGAGAAGGCCACATCGGATAGCCCCAGTTCCATGGCCATCCCTTTAGCCTTCGTGTTCCCCCTTGCCTAGGCAACACCGAAAGACTCCAAGGCACCAGTAAACACCAAGCACCGACGGTCAGACAGACTGCAGACCCCAAATCTGCTCCGAGTGGGGCATGCTGCAGTTTCCCCAGTGTGTGTGTCACCCATAAGCAAGTAGCATTGTTTAAAATTGTGTTCGTGTCCATCAATATAATATGTCCTGCTTACTCTCCCATGCTTTGCATATAACACAATTGCACGTGCACACCAACACAGAACTTCACCTCTTCTTGTCTGATCCACTTTGACATCCTCAGGCAAAAACCAGTTACAGGCATGTTTACAAGCACAACACTGCTCTGAGTTAAGTACATGTGTCTCAATAATTGAAGCTGAAGTAGAGAACTTGCCACCATACCAGTCCCTTGCTGGGTGTCAAGGCGGGTTGCGAACTGTTTGGGAGAGCTGCTTGTCTCCTGTTGTTGCTGCACTGCAACAGGCTATAGAAAACCTGGCTTAAAAAGCAAGCCTAGTCCTTCCTAAGCTGGAACAAGATGTTCCTAAAAGCATCAGAATAATAGTCTGACACTGACACACCCAGAACTCTTCCCACTTGGGGATCTCAGCATGTTAGCTGTGCCTTGCAGTTTTACAGAGGTGAGTTCAAACCAAGTGCAGAATTGCTGTCAGGTCACCAGAATTAGCCCAGAGGTAGCAGGAGCCCTGACTGTCCTGACAGTCCCAGCAGGGCTCCGAAGAGCATAAACTAGTGCCAAATACTGCTGCATATGCATGTCCCTCCATGCCTTCAATGCTGCAGGGATGTTTTGCAGGAACTGAGTACCCTAGAGTCCCCATAAATAAATGTGTGGGCAAAAATAGATTTTTATGGTGCCTTCTGGCAAGGCTTCTACTAAGAAGCGCTGCTGATTTCAGGCACTCTCTAAGTCCTTCCTAGTATTGCCTTACTGCAGCAAAGCCAGGATTTCACTCCATGTTTCTCAAGTGTGGCTCCTACCTGACAGATTAATGATTAGGACAGTGGGCAGTGGCCTTACTTCTTTGTGAAAGTTTCTCTTTTCTTCAGCGCATAACACACATGCCTGCTAGGGTCATTTTCTTCCGACGAGATTGTAAGGTGTGTAGAGCAGGACTTCCCACTTCCACTTTAGTGCCAAACATGAATATGGATGTGTTCAAACATGTCCTATTCAACCATGTGCAACATGCTGGGGATCCATCACACTCAGCTTTAGGAGTCTAAAAGTCAGACGTCCCAGCAGATGTGGGTCAGACAAACTGCCGTCTGCGGATGGCTGTCTGAAAATGAGACAAATGCTGCAAATGCCTCTTTTTTTCCACTGACTAGAAAGACAGCCACAAGGGACACAGCTGAACTCAAGAATTTAGCTTTCAGAAGTCTAACTTAAGTGAGGAGAATCCCATCCTAGCCTTTAATTTGCAAGTAAGCAAGGAAATCAACAGTGTAAGATAATGCCCAGACCTGGCTGTGGGGACAAGCCTTTTAGTTTTCATTTAAATTTCACCAAACATCTGTGACCATCTGAAGTTTTGTGTTCTCTTCAGACCATGACAAACCACAGTAAGGAGGTGGGAGCATTCAAGAAAGTATCAGGTTTGCATGGAGTATGAATCTGTGATAGAAAAAGTCATGGTTTTGCTGATCTTGGAATACTGGCCAAAAAACACCAGATGTACCGAACAGTATTATTTATGTTGCAGTTAATAAAAACACATCCATCACAGTCATCCCTGAGTTGGCAAACAATACTATGACCCACACGTACACTGGGCAAGTATCAACATAATTAGCTCAGCTGCATTTCACCTCCAGCTATGCAGAGTGCACTGCCTGGGGGAAAACATTCTCTTTGCTCTTGGAGCAACCCTACACATTGGTGACTGACCTCCAAGGAGAACAAAGATACAGTTAGAAATGATCACACACCTGATTTCAACTTCTTTTGTTGTTACCACACAGGTTTTGTCTACCGAAACTGTACGAGTGAGGGTTGGTCAGATCCATATCCGAGACCCGATATCGCTTGTGGCTACAATGTCAATGACACAACAAATGAAGCGAGAGTGAGTCTGAGTGCCTGTGACCGCAGATCTGCTGCTTGGGGACACCGGGGCAGGAACGTGTTAAGGAGGGACTGAATGATGTTGTGATTTAACTCAGGTGGGGTTATTGTTACAGGTGTTTTTCAGCTTAAATGCTTCCTCCAAATGATCAGAATGGGTTGCTCAGGGTAAAACTACAGTAGCTGATTTTACAAGAAAATTTATTTCTTAAGCAAGAGGAGACTGATATGGGCTGATTTCTATCAGACAGTCAAATGTAAAAGTGTGAATCAATGTTCCCCTGCAGCATTCCTATTTCATGACTCTGAAGACCATGTACACCATCGGATACTGCACCTCCCTCGTGACGCTGATGATAGCCTTAGTGGTCCTGGTCTCTTTTAGGTGAGGAGAAGCATCTCTGGTTTGTGTTTGGCCAGGACTTCTGGTCATCTCAGCTCACCCAGATCCTTCTGCTGGCTTTCAGGGCAAGTTAAAAATTGAAGTATTTCTGAAAATCTTCACAGAAATCAGTGACAAAAATGATCTCTCAGTCTTGTCTCCCAGAAAATGTCAGGGCTGCTCCTCATATTGTGCTCTCCTGTTCTTTCCAAAATGCAGGTGGATGTATTTTTGCAGACTGATGTTTGCACCCCCTCCCTGCTGAGGTCTTTCCATGACTTCAGTGTCCCCTGGCAGAGTGTCTTTCACCTTGCTGTTCTTTTCCCCACTTGAAGCTGTGGCTAAAACTTTGCTCTAAGTCCTGCTGCACTGACTTCTGGGAAGGTGTTTCAGGTTCACAGCAGCCATCTGACAGTTGGCTTATCTTCATGCATCCTTATAACCTGGAATTTGTACTTTGCTGCTTATTCAGTGAAATTAATTTTCCTTACAATGTCAGGGAGGCACCTCTGGACAGAAGGAACCCCAACTACTTTGCAAACTTGTCTTCAGGGTGCATGGCCTCCAGATCCAGATTATTTGGAGATTTAATACAGAAAACATGTCAGGCAAACCTGCACTGTGCAGACAAATCAAATAAATCCACCCAGGTGTGGATAAACACCTTGGGTTCACGTTACTCCAGAAAGGAGGGAGGGAGGCTAGACCAGGCACATTGGCACGAAATTGCAATTCTGCTGGCAATGTTCAGCTTGTTTTAGTACCTGAGTGGAGCAGATGTGACTTCAGCTTTTTAAAATCTTCTCTAGGATATCCTTCTTGGGAAATGCATTAGTCTTCCTTTCATGGACAGAAAAACAGCGTTCTTAATTTGTCAGTTTAGCATTAATAAGGATTGAAACTTGCTGTTTACAGCCACAAGCTACCCACATTGGCTAGAAATGTAATTTCATGGGATCGATCTCTCTTTTTATAACAGACGACTTCGCTGTACGAGGAACTACATCCACATGCATCTCTTCACATCGTTCATTTTGCGAGCACTGTCCAGCTTCATCAAGGATGCCGTTTTGTTTTCCTCTGAAGACACAAATTACTGCGGGGCATACACGGTAACTTCTGCCTTCCAGCTTGCTCCATGCCTCAGATTCCTGGGAGGATCCTAGCAGTAGTTAGTGTGCAGGGAAGGAAATCTCCATCCCAATTTTCTATTCAGCATAGGGAGTTATGTGAAAAGAGAGGTATGTCCGTTCTCCATCACTCAATCCTGCATGTTGGTTGTTTCTGGTGGAGATTTCCCTGTTTGGGAGTATTCTACGTGGCTGAGGGAGGCGTGAGGATGCAAAAGCAGCCCAGGCTGGACCATACACACAGAAACCTAGGTGCAGTTCCTCCTCGCTGTAGATGCCCTTACAAGTATTGGAGCAGAGGGCATCCAGGTCAGTCTGAAGTAGGTACCTACATTCATCATCTTGATTACATTGACTTGATGGCCACAGAAGACATCAGGGGTTGAGCACATTGACAAAAAGTGCCTACAAATGGGTGTCTCAAGCTGTGAACACAGGATACACCACCAAGGTGGAGATTCTTACATGCATTCTAGATCCTGGTGGATAGGGCTGGCAGGAAAAGTGTGAGAACACATTAAATATTGCTGACATATTACAGTGTGAGACCTGATAGTAAGATATGGATTTGCACCCAAGACCCTGGAAAAAGAACCTCCTAAATTTTGATTTCTTTTTCTTGACAACAAAGTATCTTGAAAATTGGGGGGGGG